ACCTGAAATAGGCTGTCAGCTAGAGGCGCATTGTTTTACAAAAGAGACTCAGGCACATGTGCCTGCCTTTCTGGGGAGATCGCCACCCCCCCCCACCCCCCCCACCCCGTCATTTTAGCCATGATAAATGGGCATTCTCAGCCAAGTTTGGGGGCACAAGGGAGATGGTGTGCCTGGCACCTCTCTGTGCATAGGATGTGACCCACCACCCAGGGGCTCAGGGTGCTGCGCTGTGGGTCAGGGTTGCAGGAACTCGCCTGTTCCCTCGTCACCCAACAAGCTAATTGGGGAGCCCGCGCCCCTCCTGCCTCCAGGTCCTTCAGTGGGTCCAGAGGTTTAGCATCCCTGGGACCGTCAGGCAGGAGGATTTGAGGGTGACCTCGATCACCACACCAAGCATGGCTCGTTTAAAACCTGGAGGCAGGAACTGGGGTGCTTCTCTGGAACAGAGGTTGGCAAACTGGCCCAAGTGCCATATCCGGCCCAACCTGTCTGCTTCTGTGAATGAAGCTGAATAGGAAAGGCCACGTGCACTTGTTTACGTATTGTCTGTGGCTGCTTTCATGCTGTCAGGACAGAATTCAGAAGCTGAGAGAATGTATAGTCATTGGCCCGGAAACCCAAAATTATTTACTACCTGGCCCTTTACAGAAAATATAATTGCCAGCCCTGCTGTTCTCCTGCACAGAAGAGTACATGCATTTCTCTCACCCTGACCAGTGGTTCTCACCTGCAGTGATTTTGCCACCCTGGGGATATCTGGCAACGCCTGGAGACATTTTCGTTGTCAGAACCAGGGGCGTGAAGGCACAGGGACTGGCATTTAGTGGGCAGAGGCCAGGGATGCTGCTCAACTCCCTGCAGTGCACAGGATGGCCTGGCCCCAATGCCAATAGCCATGTCTAGACCTATCACTCAGCATCCACTCTCCCCAGAAGCCCAATAAAGGCCTCTCTAAGCTGGCTTACTCTGTAACTTCTGCGAATAACCAGGTGACAGCAGAGTGTCCTGTCCTTGGCCAGAGAGTCCTCCCAAAGGTGCTATGTCAGCCCCCTGCCCCCATAACCCACAGGAGTCCATCTCTTGGTACCTTCGTTGGTTCTTGGGTGCGTCCCACCCATTTGACCTTACACAGAGCCGCTGGGGCCACCTTAGTATAATTCAGCACACCGGTCACACCAAACAAGTTCCCAAGACACAAGCAGCTTTAATCCCCCAATCCAGCCTCCAACGGGGGCCCAGCTGGACAAGGAGCGACTCCTTCGCTCTGCACAACCCACGGCCCACCCTCCTCCTCGCCCTCTCTGTGGCGATGCGCGCCCTTCTGTCCTCAGTTCACGGTAAGCGTGTCTGGGGTGCCTGGGACACTGAAGCAGCAGGCTCCTTTTCTTCCTCGTTCTCCATCTCCATCTTATCCTTCTCCAAGCTCTGGGTGCCCACAGCACAGTAGTACATAGCCTCATCCTCAGGCTGCAGCCCAGAGATGCTCAAATACCCCGTGTTCTCGGCCACATCTTTGAATCCGGAGAAGCGTGGAGGGACCTTGGGGCCCTGTCTCTTGTCTGAATGGGAGAAATATCTCAGCAAGAACCTGGGAGGGTGTCCGGGCCTCTGCTGGTACCAGTAGATGCTATAAATGTTGACATCGTGGTCCCTGCTCAACGTGCAGGCCAGACGGACTGTGGTTCCGAGGGGCGAGGACACAGAAGGTGGCTGATCCAGCATTGGCTGAGGGCCACAACCTGGGGACACAGAAGAACATGGACACCCGGGGCAGGGCAGGGCAGGGCAAGGGAAGGGGCCAGCGGCTGCGAGCTCTGGGGAGTTCTCACCTGTGAGGTAGGCGAGGAGCGCCAGCAGGACAGGAGCCCAGGACATGTTGCAGGCGTGCTGAGCTCTGCCTCCTGAACTGTGCAGCCACCGCTCCGGGGGCTCTCTGGGGTCTGGGCAGCCTCCTCCTCCTCCACCCTCCCAGGGGTGGGGCCACCCAGTTCCAGCCACTGTCATCCCAAACTTTCTTGGGTTTGCAGCATCAGTTAGGGGAATGGTCCCCTGGTGGCCTTTGTGGCTCTGGCCTTGTCCTCATAGAAGCATTCAGGGAGGAAACACCTGCTGGAAGCTCACACCCCAGTGCCCAGGAGGCCAGCCCGCAAGCTTGCGTCCCTGAGGGAGAGCGGCCTCCACGTCCCCTTGAGAAAGCCGAGCCCCGCAGAGACAAGATTCGTGTCCAAATTTACATGCCTGGTGAACTGGGAAGAGGACGCATCCTGGAGGTGGTGAAACACCTGCTCTGAGCAACAGAAAATGTTGGGCCCTGGTGGTGAGTGAGACACTGTTCCCTTCCACACTCCTAGCACTTGCTGCCCACAATCCTAGAGCAACTCTCCCTCTCACCACGGTCCAACCCAGGCCCTGCCCCAGCCCTGCTGACCGCTCCTCTCCACCACAGTCAACCTACGGGTCCACAGGAGGGCTGACCCGCCGTTCCCTGGGAGGCCTGTGTGGAGGGCTCAGCCGCAGGGCGCTCGGGGCAGAGAGCACTGGCAGCGCTGAGAACACTCTTGAGACCCTCAGGCTTCCTCCTGCTATGCAGAACGAACTCCTGAGCTGGATTAAATGAGCGGTGGGGTTCTGGTTTTGCTTCTCTGCCAACAGATTGCACCACTTAAGTCTTAGATTCAACCTAAGCCATGGCCGCTAGATACACCTGGGGGCTGTGTGGAGAACAGACCCTAGGGTGGCAGGGTGGAGGCTAGGGGATCAGTGTGGTGGCAGCCGAGGCAGAGAGAATTGATTGGATCTCAGATATATTTTTAAGACAGTGATGGATAACGAGTGAGAGAAGGGGAAATCCAGAAGGCTTTCAAGGCACAGGTTTTGAGCAACAGGGAAGACGGAGTTGCAGTTTTGGAGATAGGGAGCCTTCCAAGGAGGGGGTTCAGAATCAGAAGTTCTGTTTTGAAAGGGAAATCTCATTGTGACTCTCAATTTTTGGCATTTCCCAACCTTAGTTTGACTATTGAACTTTTTTTTTCTTCTAGATCAGTGTGACCCAACCATAAAATTATTTTCGCTGCTACTTCATAACTGTAATGTTGCTACTGTTATGAATTGTAATGTAAATATCTGATATGCAGGGTCGTCTTAGGCGACCCCTGTGAAAGGGTCGTTCGATTGCCAAAGGGGTCGCGACCCACCGGTTGAGAACCACCGTTCTAGATCATCTTTCAGGGCTAGTAATCCAATAAAAGCAAGTTGGGAAAGTGTCTACAGGGCCCAAAGGAAATGTGTATATGCTACTGTTTAAAATATATTACAATATGGTCTTGCAAGTTATTTTAATTTTTACATAACCCTAGTGCTCTTACACAAAAAATTACTTTTCTTTTCCAATTCATCTTCCAGATATATTTTACACAGTTCATTCATTCATTGCACAAATGTTTATAGTACTGAAGGAAGCCTGCTATACACACATGTGTAGCTTTCATTATTGTAATTATTAACAGCATGTGTGTTTTCATGCTTATCATCCAGTTTGTTCATAATTATTGTAATGATTATTGTCATTATTGCTTCCCCACGGAAAAGAATTGGCGGGAAAGAATGCGGACCGCCAGGAGATCTGCGTTGTCCAGGACCACTCCCGGGCCCGGAACGCACAGAGCGCGGAACCCAGGGAGGGAGACGTGCGGGTGCCGGAGGGCAGACGCAAGGGCGCCAGCAGCCGCCGGACCCGGAAGTAGGGGTTGCAAGTGGCCGCCGGGGAGCGGGACTGAAGCGGGAGCCGCTCGGGGCTGCGGGTGAGAGGCGGGCGGCGGGCGCTGCGCTCGGCGGCTCAGGGACGTGGGAGGCGCGGGCCTTTGTTGAGCACCTTCCGCGGATGCCGGCCGGGCACCGAGGGGCCCAACCCCGCGGCTGGGGATAGCGTCCCGGGCCGGACTCTTGGGGTTCTCCCCGCCGCTTCCCTGGAGGGGTGGACCCCCTACCCCAGGGCTTGCCGTGGGGGTCCGGGGAGGTGGCGATGGGCCAGCGTTTAGCCAGGTGCCTGGAGGAGTAGGCGCTGCGGTTCATTATCTTCTTCGTGGAACCCGCCTGCGCTTCCTTAGGTTGGGTCTGCCGTGCAGCGGTCGGGCCCGGGTCGGCTGGGCTCCACTCAAAGGCAGGTTCTACCCGGGACCACCTGGGCACCCCCTCAGTCTTGAGGGCGCCCGTGGTCCCCGGAGTCGCCCACTGGGTGCAGGAGAGCACCTGAACTCGAACACATGGACTAGAGTCCGGTGCGAAGGAAGGCAGTGGCCTCGTCTTCCCTTTTTATCGCTCAGCCTTTGGGGACAGCGCGTGGGAGGTCAGGCCGATGTGGACGCATGGCCAGCGAGCCCTGGGCTTCCGAGAGCCTTTGCAAAGGCCAGCTGACACCGGTCTCAACCGCAGTGTCCTCGTCGTTTAAAGAAATTACACCGTCAGCCACGTAGAGTCGTTGGCAAGAGTAAATAAAGTGTGTGTAGCGATCGTGTGCCTGGTGCAGAGAAGGAGCGTAAGAAATGGTTGTTCCTTTCCCTCTCTTTCTGACTCCATAGGTGTTTGGTGTGGTTGCCAAGGTGGGAAGTCCTAGGGCTCTGACTGCTGTTCAGACCACTGCTAGGCCTTCGCTCCCAAGCTCCGTCCACGTGTCTGTAAGACGCTGATAGGAAAAGACTTTCTCTAAAACGGTGTCTCCCAGAGGACGCATGCCATTGTGGGATTGCTGGTGAGAGCTGACGGGGTAATAACAGGCTAGCCTGCTACTCCCTTGCACTGTCAGCCCTTCTAATTACAGCTGCAAGTTGGAGAGTTTGCTGTCAACACCCCCTGAGAACTTGCTAATCTCCCTTTTTAAAATAAAAGGACAAGCATCAGGCTCAGAGCTCTGGCAGGCAACAAAATTAAACTTGATATACCGCATAGGTTACTGGAAAAAAACTAGTTCTGGCCATTGATTGCAACTGTTAGTTCCTATGGGGCTATAAAATTTCCCTTTTTTGTATATATTTAAACTTTTAAAAAAGCAAAACTTAAGTGAATAATAATGTTTTGCCAGTAAGGCAAAAGCCTTAGGACAGTAGCCCTAGCTGGTTGGGCTCAGTGGGTAGAGCATCGGCCTGTGGACTGGAGGGTCCTGGGTTCGATTCCGGTCAAGGGCACATGCCCGGGTTGTGGGCTCGAACAATCCCTGATAGGGGGCGTGCAGGAGGCAGCCGATCAATGATTCTCTCTCATCATTGATGTTTCTATCTCTCTCCCTATCCCTTCCTCTCTGAGTTAAATTAAAAAAAATTTTTTTTTAAAGCATTAGGATGGTATATAAATGAAGTTTGCAAACCATTGCTTTGAGCTTTTGTTCTAATTGGCTTCCGTTTTGAAATTGGAGATGTGCCTTAATGGAAAAATAGGGAAGCCCTACGATGAATCACAGAAAATTAATCACAGTTGCGACTGCTGAAATCTTTTAAGAGTTGGAAGGAACCTGATGTAGTTTTTAAAAAATGTTCCCATGCCCTAACCGGTTTGGCTCAGTGAATAGAGCGTCGGCCTGCGGACTGAAGGGTCCCAGATTCGATTCCGGTCAAGGGCATGTACCTTGGTTGCGGGCACATCCCCAGTAGAGGATGTGTAGGAGGCAGCTAGTCGATGTTTCTCTCTCATGGATGTTTCTAACTCTATCCTTCTCCCTTCCTCTCTGTAAAAAAAAAAAATCTATTTAAAAAAATAAAAATAAAAAATGTTCCCAGCTGGAAGTAAGGAAGCATGAGTTTCACCCCATCTCAACCAACTTCCTTGGTTATCTTTAGAAAATCCTTTCTCTGAGTCTTAGTTTGTTCTTCCTACTTGAGATGACTTTACCAGATCATCACCAATGCCCTTTCCCCAGGATTTCACATCCTTAAAGGAAGTGATATTCTTTTTCCTAATAAAACAGTGATACTCAGATCATTACAAAGTGCTTATGCAGTACTGAGGTATAAACTGTTGAATTACAATATGTGTTTCTTTAGAGCAGGAGTGGGGAACCGTTTTTCTGCCAAGGGCCATTTGGATATTTATAACATCATTTGTGGGCCATACAAATGATCAGCTTAAAAACTAGCCTGCTATATTTGGTCAAACATTTAATTAACTCACCCCTAATGCCTTAGCAGGGCCGGACCAAATGATTTCGAGGGCTTTATATAGCCCATCGGCTGGACGTTCCCCACCCCTGCTTGGGAGCCAGAGCTGCTGAAGATTGGCACATGTCAAAAGTGGATTAGCTATTGCACAGTCTTGAGTTTGCTTTTTTTTTTAAATCCTCACCCGAGGATATTTTTTCATTGATTTGAGAGAAAGTGGAAGAGAGAGGGAAAGACAGAGAGTAGCATTAGTGTGAGAGAAACACATCAATTGGTTGCCTCCTGCATGTGCCCTGACCAGGGCCTGGGCTGGGGAGGAGCCTGCAACCGAGGTACATGCCCTTGACCTGAATCAAACCCGGATGCTTTGGTCAGCAGACCCACGCTTTAGCCACTGAGCCAAATCAGCTAGGGCTGGGCTTTGCTTTTCTCAAATATATTTTTACTTGTGGCCTAGTGCACGAATTCGTGCACATTGAAAGGAAATTAATTAGAAGAAATATTTTAATATCGCTATTCACCCTTTCTCTATAATAGAAGTGTCAACCAAATTCACGATCGAAAAGGACAGATGGAAACACACCCGTGCGAGTGGCCCCAGCAAGAGCTTTATATGTATCACGCATGAGCGAGTCAACTTAGCCTTTTATAGAACAAACTTGCTTAATTAGGTCTACTTTCTGATGTAGCTAAACTTTTTCCAGCCCAGTGAAGCACCCCAACTTCTCTTTCAGGTACTTGTCAGCAACACAGCAGTAAATATCAACACAAAGCAGATGATTATTATAGATCATGCAGGGAGAACAAAGGGTAAAACATTTAACTGCAGCCGTGTTTGACTATATTCTGTGCAGTGAGAAAACCTGAAGTCATTTTCAAGGTCCACCATTTCTTACTTCTTTTCAGTCGGGTCAAGTTTCTAAGCTTTCTAAATCTCTGTTTTCTGGCTAATGGAAAAAAAAATAGGATTCCACCGAGTCTCCTCTCTACCTACTCCAGGACTTCTGTGAGGATCAAATGAGAGGAGGCACGGGAAATGCTTCACAGACATTTGATTACAGTGTAAATTGTTTCTACCTGGGTATAAAGCAAGTGTTCCTGGGCTGAAGAAACTGCAAGGAGGCTAGTCATTGCTAGGGAGAGGAAGCTGGGCGTTGCTACATGATGATGTCATTACCCGGACAGAGGGAAGGACACTTAGCATATTAGACTTTTATATATTGATTTCAGAGAGGAAGAGAGAGATAAATATCAATGATGAGAGAGAATCATTGATCAGCTGCCTCCTGCACACTTCCTACTGGGGATCCAGCCCAAAACCTGGCCATGTGCCTTGACCAGGAATTGAACTGTGACCTCTGGTTCATAGGTCGATGCTCAACCACTGAGCCACACCAGCTGGGTGCTTTTTTTGTTTTTTTTTAAAGTGAGTTTCCTTGTTAGCAAGTGGTATAGGTTCCATTGGAAGCATTGCTATTTTCTGTGTGTCTTCTTTTCTCTTTAGGAGTCAGCATTGATAGTAGTGTTGGGCTGCTGAACTTCTTCATCACCATTTCCCTGAAACTGGCGCCAGCTTGAAGACAAGATGAAGACCGTGCTCATGGTTGCAGAAAAGCCATCTTTGGCCCAGTCCATTGCCAAAATCCTCTCTCGAGGTAGGGAAGGCCAGCCCTGGTGTCTCCGGCTTAGCTCTGTAAGGATGGTCATTCCTATTTTACACGTCGCTTCTTTCTTTTTCCAAAGTGTGACTCCAGCCCACTGGAGTAGACTCGGGTCAGGACAGCAGGCATTCACGAAGCACCTCGGTGTTGGTCACCGTGGGATGCATTTACTGCCGCGGCCAGCATGAGCCAGGGCTGGGGCTCCCAGAGGCACAGGCACTGTTCACAGCGTAGCAGCAGGTGCAGACAGGCCGCTGGGAGAGTGCTGTGCTGGCCAGGGTTGTTGGTCACAAGCAGCAGGAACCAGCCCTGGTAACTGACACCGAAAGGGAATTTACTGGAAGGAGGAAGACGTAGCCAGAACCGCACCCGGTCTAAGTCTGATAAGGCCCTGCCACAGGCATCATCACCAAAGACCCTTGCTACTCCCCTTGACCCCTGACTGCTGCAGCTTCAGCCCACAGCCTCATGCCACTCCAGAGCAGCCACTAGCTGAGCCTTGGCCACGGCCCTCCCAAGACAGCAGAGCACTGGGAAACAGAGCATCTGCCCTCACCCCCACTCTGGCCACTGAGGTGATCGGTGCTGCTTCCCCTCCTGTCTCTGAATTCCCTCCAAAGAGGAAGGGTATTTGGATGCTGGGGACCCAGAAATGGCATACGTCCACCCTGACCTCCCCTTGCTCCCAAGGCTGAAGGAGGAAGAGACCCTGAGACACTGGGCTAAGAAGTCCTGGTCTGAAGAGGGTGGACCCCAGAGCAGTGCTTGGTCCCAGAGGCTGAGAAAGTGTGGCCGAGGGGCCATCAGGGGGAGCGTGAGACGACACTGTGGGATTCACTAACTAGGAGTTAGTACAGTGGGGGACCTCCTGGGGACTTGAGTACAGTTGAGAGAAGCGAGGCAGAAATCAAATCAAGAGTGAACACAGAAATGCAAGGGTCTGCTCTTGAGAGTTCAGAGGGTGCTCCCGGCTCCCAGCCCCCTGGGGCTCTGTGTGGTGGGCGCTCTGTGCTGGTTGGTTACCAGTGGTGGTTTCCCGTGAGAGCTCAGCACCTAGTTCCCCGCAGCGGCCTGAGGACTGTCGTCACTGACTGCTCTGGGGAAGGGGGTGGTCCTCCGAGAGGCAGCTGCAGCTTGTGGAGCAGCCATCACTGTGCTTCTCTGCAGGGAACGTGTCCTCACACAAAGGGCTGAATGGCACGTGCTCAGTGCACGAGTACACAGGGACCTTTGCCGGCCAGCCAGTCCGCTTCAAGATGACGTC